TCCAGCCGCGCGCCCCTGCCGGAGCCCGGCGCTGTTTCGGGTCTCGTTTGCCGGACCTGACCCTTCGGGGGTCCTCGGGGGCTCCTTCGCCCCCCCAAAGTCCTCCCTTTCCTTCCCCCCCTCAAGGAATTGCTGCCTTTGGTGGACGTAGCTCTGGATCTGCCCCTTTGCGCGTACCCAGGCGCGCGCACCCCTCTCGCCGTCTGTGTCTGCACCCGCGCGCCCCTGTTCGTGGGCACGGCTCCAGATCCATCCTCTTTGCGCGCCCAGCAGGATTCGCACGACGGACGTACTGGGCTGCGAAGGGGGAAGGGTCTTAGCTGGTAGCTCAGGTCGTGGGAACCTGGCCCCCTGTGTGGGCAGTTTAGGGTTCAGGCACGGGGCAGACCCAGGCAGCTGGGTTAACTCCATAAGCCTGGATTCGTTTAGCCATGGTGCCCTGTGTTGTGTGGACACATCCAGGTGCATGATACAGGCTTGGTTCCCCATTTCTCCTCTACAAGCCCTCGAACCACCCACCCTCACCTTTAGCTCCCCTCTTCTTTCCATCCTCCTTTCCTTTTTCTAAAAAAATATATCCCTTCCATTTTTAAAGGATTGGTTTTAATTTTATCCATAAATATGTGTATATCCAATACATGCGTTCTTAGAAAAAGTGAGAGCGTGGTTGGAAGGGAAGGAGCGAAAGAAATCTGACTGTCAGAATAATCCGTATTGTCTAATATTGATAGGCACTGATTGTATTATATATAATGTTTAAATATCCACAGGCAGACCTACCTAGATCATTTCTAGAGTTCTTTCCTTCCCTTCCACCTCTCCCTTTAAAAAAAAAATCCATATGTTTGAAATGTACATATGGTATCCCTGGCTTAAATTCCCTTAACTTTGCTTTTTCACCCAATTTCAGCTCAAATCCAAGACCTTTAACAGCACCATCTGTTTTCCCACCTGGGATCCTGCATTTGACCTGCATCATTCGTCCCATTATTGTCTCTCTGATGCCTGGATGATGGGGGATGTGGTCCAACATCCCTGGAAGAGGCACTTATCCTAAACCACCCTTCTCCAATCAGGTGCCCCCATGCTGGATGACAATCCCCATCATCCTCAGCTTGGCTGGAGAAAGCTGGAATAGGCTCTGAAATGGCTCTTTTTACTGTTTTACTGTAAACCTCCTGGAATCTTTTTGGAACAGGCTGGTACAGAAAAAGTGTAATAAAGAAATCGATACATATATTATAAGGTGAATGCTTTCCAGTCTGAATTTGATGGTCAGCTCCTTCCTTCTCTCTCCCTTCTCCTGCCAAATATCGTGTCCTTGGACAACACCCACATAGGCTGAGCTCACATGAAACGTTTAGCCACAAACAAATCCACCACATTTTAGCCAAGCGTTTTGTACAGATCCAGCCTGCGGTTACTTTCAGAGCCCGTGTAAACCTCGAGGGTTAGGTTAAGATTATTGCAGTTAAGTGAATTGGGGGTAAGCAGGCTGTCTGAACATAGCTATTGTTTCAGTCTTGGGGGATCGATTATTATTATGTACCTCTATTATTGAACTGTCGCTGCACATACAGTATGTGTTTTGTTAACTGGTTTCTTACCGGTCCATCGGTAGAATAAAGACCAAGAGTCCCCTGTTTGTTCAGAAGTTAGTTCCAGTTTGCTTTCAGGTTGTGTAGCAATAATTCTCTGCCCCCTTGAACTGAGTTCAGTTTTGTGAATTTGGCAAAGTTTACTTCTGGGGTAAATATGCATGGCTTGGTCTGACTTCGTGCCATCCTGCACGTGCCTGTTCAGAACCAGTTCAGTTAGACTGAATATTGGGGATCTGATGGGACAGACAACATTTTCTATTGAGGGTGGGAAAGGCTGAAGCAAGCCGTGGTTTGTGTTAGGAGAAGCCATGATGGGGGTGCTAATTCTTCCTCTGTCCCCCACCCCCATTCCCCTTTCTGGCACCTCCTTTCTGAATAAGCAACAGGAAAGAGACCGGGATTCCTTCTCTTGCAAAGAAAGTTTGAAGTTAGCCTAAGGCAGTGTTTCTCAACTTTAGCAAATTTAAGATGCGTGGATTTCAACTCCCAGAATAGCTGGCTGGGGAATTCTGGGAGTTGAAGTCCACTCATCTTAAAGTTGCCAAGGTTGAGAAACACTGATTTAAATACTTCGCAGATTTATTGTGGCACAAACTTTCATAGACCAGACCCTGTGGCATAGATAAGTGCGTCCACAGAGATATATTGACAAAGAAAAGTGTGCAGGGGGGAGATCCTAGCAGAGGGGCCCAATTCCAGAAGTGCAGCTTGGAACATTTTTATGCAAATCTGCAAGAGGGTTATATTCATAAAAACTTGGATCATCCCCTTATGAGTGAATTCTGGGAGTTGAAGTCCACGCATCTTAAAGTTGCCAAGGTTGAGAGAGAGCCTAGCCTACGGGTCCAGCCGCATTTGGGTTTTTTGAAATCGGCCGGCTAAGCTGCTACCTGCTGTGTTGAAACACGTCCTGCGTGTTCTGCTCTCCCAAGCAACTCTGCGCAGTAGACCGGGCAGAGAGAGAGTGACTGACCCCAAGTAAGTTTTCTCCATGTCCTTGGTCCTGCCTGCAGGACAGGACGCTTTTTGGGCTGAGGGAGGAAGGGAAGTGAGGTTGCAAGGTCATGATTATTCCTAGTTTCACTCATAAGGGGATGATCCAAGTTTTTATGAATATAACCCACTTGCAGATTTGCATT